ACGGGACCCTTACATAAAAAAAATCTAAAGTGCTTTTAGTGCTGCTAAACATCACATTAACCATCATCAGTTCAAGCAGAAAGAACGTTACAATAAGTGTCAAGCGAATCATCACGTTTTGAATGTGTGGGTCCAGCAAAAAGTTGTTCCCCAAATATAGAGGACCATTTAAAGTTTTAACTTTCGTATGGTAGTAGCGACTGATGAGATGGAAAAGTGGATAACGATGATTAAAATGTTAAATAATTTGGACCGATACTGTCTACTTATTGTTTAGATTAAGATAACAATTTAGGGCGATACTCAATATGCGCAGACGCAGACAACGTATAGCAGAAACAATTCGTAGTTCACGGCCTCGTTGGAACAGAAGGTTATTCAGGAAAATTTTAATTTAATAAATCTAAGTATAAACAATGAAATAATATTATTATTTATGTATTTAATTTCATGCCTCAATTTTTTTAACATGTGGGTAACATGTTTTTTGCTTACGCTTGTCGAAGCCAATCTGTGGCCCAACCTAGCCCGGGGGGCCCCGTATCATTGATAATGCTGATACCGCGTTAGCTACAACCGTTGTACCTTATCGTATAGTGTAACACATTTAACATAGTTCTTCATACACTATTTGATTGAAAATTACTACACTAACCGTGTTCGGTAGTCCACTAAAAGTGTTCACTTTGACAATAATTTATTTGCATTTATTTCACTTTTATTGTGAATGCTATTTGTAATAGTGCTGGAAATTTAATCTATCTAGTGTTTATCTTATCACTAATAGATTTAAAAATTGTACCCCAATATTGTGTAAGATTGGTGTCTAAAGTGCGCCCTTAAAGTTACATACATAAAATTCATTTAATGTCGATAAAAATGGTGTACTATATAATATAATATTAGTACATTAAAGACCAAACGGAGAAAGCACTTATTATCGCAGAGCATACATTTCACTGCCGAGGCGTCAGCTGAGGCAGTAGATTGTGTGCGAGGCAATTATTAAGCTTTCGCTTTTTTTAGTAACAACATTTTTATTAGTCCATGCATAAGTCACATTTATAAACATTATATTCCTTAGGCGACTCTAAATGTTGGAATTTGTTTAGTTCACAATTTTGGATTCCTAATTTCGGATAGGGGAAATTGAGAAACGTGAACCATCCCAAATTAGGCAACTTTATACTTTTTTAAATAAAATCATTAAAAAAATGTCGTGGTTTTGACAATTTGTCAAAGACATTGTATTTAATACAATGTCTTAAACAAACATTTACCTTGTCCAGGTAAAAAATACAAATTTTTACAACGAATATTTATAACACTGGATATGCTTGCTTGGAATATTTAGATTGCATTAGAATAAACTTCCGTTTAATGATTTGATTAGTTTCAAAAAGATACACCACACTGTTCAAAATTTTAGCTAATTTTTACCTAAAATATTAGACTGTAATATAGTCTATGGTCAATGGTCCTATATTATAGGACCATTGATTTTTGAAGGCAAACTGCTTGAAATGAATTCAGAGGAATATTACCCTTTTAAATTAGTGAATTCTTTAACTGATATTTTTAAAGAAAATGATACAATTAATTAAGCAAAATTACTTAGGTTTCAAAGATGATACACCTTAGATCGTAAGGGATATTGCCTGAGAATAAAAGAATAAATTTCTAAGGCAATTTGCTTAAATTTTTAGGTAGATTTTAGCTAAGTTTTCAGGCAAATTATATATATTTTTAGTGAAAATCCTAGCATAGGAATTTTCTTCCAAGTTAGGACTCCTTTATCTTTATGTCCTAGGCGAATTAACAACGGCGGTTCCGGTACTACATGTACCCTGCAGGGTTGGGATTATTTAAAAATAAATTGGGGTCAATGGGAAATTCCATTTAGTTTGGATTACTTAACTATAGCACTACAAAATGTTCACTTATAGCCAGGGGCGTGCTGGGCCGCCGGGATACCGGGAGAAATCCCGGTGGGCCGGTGGTCCGGAGGGCTAAGTGGGCCGGTGTGCCGAAGGGCTATGTAGGCAGCATGCCGCAGCACGTGGTCAATTAAAAACTTTTTTAGTTGAGTTATGTATAAATATCATAATTATTTTACACATACCATGCATGCCAGCCTGCCAGCTTTGTTTCTTTTTTCGAGATTGTATATTGTTATAAGTTTCCTGAGCGATGATAATTTGTATTAGTTTTTATTTTAAGTGCAATGCTATATGTTTTAGCATTGTGTAAAATATTGTCTGGTTGTGTTTGTTGCCTGTTTTTTTTTCAAGAATTTAATTTATACTTTATGTTATTAATTATTAATATATTAATAAATGTTTGAAATTTTTTAACTTGGTTTTGTTCACCCTCCATTTTTCGTGTGTAGTTGACCGATTTTTCTGAATTTCCCGGGCCGGTCTAATATAGCCAGCACGCCCCTGCTTATAGCACAATAATTGTTAACTATGTTGTTATATCAATAGCACACAACGCGGTCTTTAGGCTTTCGTTGATTTTGGCATTATGGTGGACAGGTGGATATAGGCGCGAATATTTATCGTAAAACGTCGGTATTAGCGATCGTAGCCGATTGCAAGTAAGTCACTAATATTTAAAGGAATTTGCCTAAATTAGTTCAATAATTTGCCATAATAATTTAGAAGAATTACCTTAATTAAAAGCAAAATTGTCGTACCTACAAGTAATTGAGATTTTGACTAAATATTATATCAATAGCACACAACGCGGTCTTTAGGCTTTCGTTGATTTTGGCATTATGGTGGACAGGTGGATATAGGCGCGAATATTTATCGTAAAACGTCGGTATTAGCGATCGTAGCCGATTGCAAGTAAGTCACTAATATTTAAAGGAATTTGCCTAAATTAGTTCAATAATTTGCCATAATAATTTAGAAGAATTACCTTAATTAAAAGCAAAATTGTCGTACCTACAAGTAATTGAGATTTTGACTAAATATTTAGGTAATCTGCCTATCTTTTTAAATTTAACAAGTTTATTAAGTAAAGTATGAATATTTATCTAGAAGTTAGTGAATACACCATAGAACTAAGGCATTCGTTTCTGCCTAATAAACGAGAAGGTAAATTGCTTTACTCGTTTAAGCATATTACCTTATTTTTACTTAACTAATTCTGATTAGGTATTTCAAAAGGCTTGATTTTGAACAGTGCACTATCCGAAATAAGGCTCCTACTTGAAATTAGGCGACTTTCTCTATACACCACTCTCTAAAAATGAAATAGTCAAAATTCTACTATTTGAATTAGTACCAGCATTTTTTACTAATAAAATGGTTCACTTTTAAATAGTTATTTTTTACTACGTAAATAGTTAAAGTTTGACTAATTTAAGTAGTCACCATCTTTGAATATTTCTGAGAGTGTAAATTAACTAATTTCTTTAATCGTTTGCGGCCAACAACAAAGTATTTATTATTTGAATTAAGTGCATATACCTAAGCTCCATGGTTAAATGACCCATAAAAACCGGACCGTTCAATCCCCGGCTGGGTCAAAACTTTTTTTAAATTTAAATCTACTAATTTGACTATTTCATTCAGACTATTATTATAATAACTATAGTTACTGCTTTTTGACTGACAATTAGTCAAATATGACTTATAATTAGTTATTTTTGACTAATTCATTTTAAGAGACCAAATTTTTGCAGTGATAATCTCAAAATAAAACTTTAACCATAATAAAAGTCTTAAAGAAACATAAAAATCGCTCATATACAGTGTAGTTCAAGGAAAATACTGTGCGAAATTAGTGCAAAGACTTACTACTTGTGCAGGTAAAATCAGTGTATCTGTTCTCCAAAGTCTAATAGAAGAAACATTAAATTAGTGCATTGAAAAAAAATCTTTTAATAAGTGAATACAGTGAATAAAGATCATACGGACACGGAAGTAATTAAGTAATAACTGATAGCATACCTGGCGGACTAACCACAGCTGTGGCCTAGGCCAATATAAATCACCAAAATCTGATAAGTACAGTTGTATTCATTAAAAAAGCGTACAAGAATTAGAATGAGAGAAAACTGTCAACATTATTGCGTAAAACCGGCTTTCCACTGACTTAAGTCACTATAACTGACAGTAGAAAATAAAAATGCCTCGTCAGTTAAAAATGCTCAAATAGTATCAAGAACCGAAGAAGAATGGTCAATTCGTACCGTGGTATAATAGAAATAAAAAATCTATATTAAAAATTAATAATTTTTGTAATATTATTTAATTAACCTACGACGTCAATGCTCTTTATAACCTATAGTAATTATTTTAATGACTTATGTCAGTGAGAAGCCGGTTTTAAGCAATAATATTATTTTGACAGTTTTCTCTCATTCTAATTCTTGTACGCTTTTTTATTGAATACAACTGTACTAATTAATCGCATGACCTAACACGCAAATTTGCAACAAAAACCTTACAATAATTAATGATTATTACTGAAAATAGCATAATAGTGTAAATAAACCAAGTAAGAACGTTACACAACATAATATAAGCATAAACTAAAGATGCCAGCCCCAATAAAATTAAAATGTTTAAAACTAAAATTTGAACGAGCAGGCAATTAAGAAGTAACCTAAACACAGAAAAGTCAATACAGCCATATAAAGGGCAACCAACGACAACTTAGGATTACTCACACTATTTCGTGTATGTCTGTTATCATTATCGTCAGCTAGTAAAAAACGACTAGCTAAACGGTTGCATATTATGAAGTCGGTACCGCATGAGGGGTTACATTTCCACGAAGGCAGAGGGGCACTGCTAATAGCTTGTCGTGGTCGGCAACACTTTGGTACTGAAGACAGGATTCAGTATCTCAAAGGGGGGCAAACAATTCTAAAGCGGTTACCGATTTTTCAGCATAATTTCAGCATTTAATGATGACTATTAAGACACGAGTAGGAATTGATAGGTAAATACAAAGGCAAAGAGTATAATAACATTTATTTTATTTCCACATATTTAATATAAAAATATGCTTATATCATTAAAATACATTTTTAGAAGCAAAAAGGTATTTTTATTATGTTATAAATAAATTTTTCTAAATGCTTTGTTTACAGTTATTATTTAATTATTGTGCAACACTTATCAAAGACGGCTGTTGCAAAACACTTATTCATTTATTTTATTGTCCAAAGGTGTTATATGCAATTTCAAAGGTCCATCAATACCATAGAGCAGTTTAGAGTTAAACGGAATATCTTCATGAGGCCAGTCGAATTTAAAGTTCCTCACCAGCTAAAACATTTTAACATGTTAACACGACAATTTTTTTATTTTTTTATGTTTGCTGTAGGACACATGTTTAGAGAGTTCTCTCTGGAGAGAGAACCTACGCTTCAGGAGCAGAAATGACCGTAACTGCCAATGTTGACGCGCGATTAATTAAAGTTTTTAGATGTACCTAATACTAAATATTATTAATATACCTTAAGCAAACCAACTTCAAGCTCCATGTTTGCCAACCTCTTTCCAATGCAGGTTCGTGGGCCAAAGCCAAAAGGTAAATAAGCAAAAGAATGCATGTTTTTGTATGACAATTCGGAATCCTTTTCGTTTCTTAAGAATCTTTCCGGGATAAATTCCAAAGGTCTTTTAACAAATTTGTTTGATGTGGCTACGAAAAGTTGTGCACTGCTTACTTGTGTCTAAAATTATAAAAATTGGCTTCGAATGTTTAAAACACATTTCTTCTTACGCCTTTGGGGACTTGGTAACCAGCAATAACAGCATCTTTAGCTATTTTCCTTACGGTCCCTGTAGCGATTGGTGCTATTCTTGTTGTTTCTTTAAATACAGCCTTTAAATAAGCCGCATTTTCTAGCATTTCTTTGGTAACAGCGGTGTTTTTTGACGGTAAAATCCTAATGGCTTCTTGTCGTAGTATTTCCTGCTTATCAGGATTTTTTGCTAGGTAATAGAGGGCTGCTCCCATGGTTTTTCCTGTCTACATACAAAAAATAGATTAATTTTGATTATTGCACTATTTTTGGTACTTACAGTGTCGACTCCAGCTATAAGCATATCCATGATCATGACCAAAGCAATTGTTTTATCTTTCTTGATTAATTTTTCCAACACACTCATATCCTCTTCGCTTTTGTGTGGGTTTTTTTCAATTTTTTCCTTGCATTTTTCTAAGTATGCAATGTTCGTTCTAAAACATTAATATTTCAAACATATATTATGTATATTTTGATTAATTTTTACTCTGTTATATAATCCATTAGTCTTACAAATCGCTTCCACCGTTTGGTACTGTAATATTTCCACATTGAAGGTAGTATATCCAAATAGTAAACCAAATCCAGCATTTCCAAAACACTATCCACATATTTGTTTTGTGGGGAATCCGGGGGCAAATTGGGGTCCAAACAACCTAAATAAAAACTTTCAAAGAAAAAATATTTCCAAACTCAAACTTTACCTAATCTTTCATCTATAGCAACTACAGCTACCGATTCTAAAGCCCATTTGTGTAACAACATAAGAAAGTCTTCTGGCATTTCTTTATTTTGGGCAGCTAATAAATTTACTCTTTCTAACAAACCATCCGCAATAATATTCATGTTGCCTATATACTGCTTTACTATTTTTGGCTGCATTAACAATGGATTTACCATCGACCTTATCTTTGCCCATTCCTCTCCACCTCTTAAAACAGTTTTTTTGTAAATTTTGTGGATTTGTCGGGTTTTAAAACTTACAATGACAGTAAACCTATTACACCTTGAAACAAATCTTTTTTTATGGCACCTCTGTAATATCTGAAGGAATCCATACCATGCCTTATCGGCCACGTACCTTCAACTCTAAAAATCTAGAAACAATTATTTTTATATATATTTTTAATAGACAATTTACTGTTTCGATATCGCTCGGATCAAATGTCATTAGAATTTCACTTATAGACCCAGGCATACCCTTTAACATTACACATGACCCATATTCCTCAGTCAATCTAAAAAGTAGGATGTACTTCGTCTTATATGCACAAAAAATAACAGTGATGAAAGGTCATTTAAAAAACGTTGCGGGAATTACATCTTACCACTGTTTTTATATATAAAAGTTTATTAAAATTCTGCTTCCACCACGGTACTATGCTATTGTAGCAGGTAAGTTGAATTTACCGTGAAAGGCAGGTTGCTATTGACGATGGGAGGTAAGTGAGCTATAGTTTTTTTTATTATTAATGGGCATCGACAACTAATGGTCATTAGCCCGGCTAATCACAACATGTCAAATTATCTGGGCATTCTTCATGTTCAGATCAGAAAAGGGTAGGTATATTAGTGATCTTATATGATAGGGTGGAGTTGGAATATATATCACAGGTAGGTAAGGCTTTATAAAAATTATAATCTTAACATTAGATTTGTTTCTTTTAGGATGAACAATATTAAGCTATAGTTGTCGCGGCGAATGTTTCAAATTGCGTCATCAAATTCTGAACCAAGAAAAGACATTACAATTATTGTTATTTTCTTTTACGTATATAATCCAAGAAACCGCTAGGTTAACCGTATGTTGAGAAATCGGTTTTTGACATTTGGCATTGATGACGTAATTTGAAACATTCTCCGCGACGACTATACTTACCTTCCATGGGTAAACAACGTTTTAATAACGACAAAATCATAGCAGACTACGTGACATTTTTTAATGTAAAAATATTACTTAGTGTCAGTGTAAAAGCAAATGGATCCAAATAGTATTTTTATTACATGAAACCAACCTAAGGGAGCAGATAAAACGTTATACACTACGCAAGAGGTAGGTTTTGACCATTCTCGGACTATAATAGTCCGAGAATGGTCAAAACCTACCTCTTGCAATAATTGCCAGCCCACACACGCTCGGGCGCAAACTCGTTCTCGACTGGTAAAATCTACTTACTTTGTAGTGTAAAATTTGATTAACTCAACGGTAATACACTATTCTTACCTTTTTTGAAATTGCAATAAGTTGAGTCCATAATACTTCCCACCCGGAAAAAACCTAAATATGTTTCCAATGCCAGGCAGAGGTTTAGGGCCAGGTATGCTTTCGAATGGTTTGGCCTGGTCCCAACCTAGAGGTTTTTCATTGACTTCAAGGGCTGACGTGTTTTGTTTTTTATAGTATTCCTCTTTTTTTGTTAACGCCACAGTTGAGTTTAGCCTTACTGATTGTTTAAGGTTAATGAGCCTTTGAGGCAGCATTTTTGCCTAAAATATAAAAATGAGTTTTTTTTCATATTCCTAATGGAAAAGAAGCACATTTTATTAAAAAAAAATGGTAAAGAATAGAACTATTTAGTTTTATTGTTACTCTATCTTAATAGACGGGTTACGGGTGTCAGATTGTCTATCTGACAAAAGTAGTATACCAGGGGCGACGATAATGATTTATAAATTATATAATTATAGATAATAATTTTTATTTTAATAATATTTTAATAATAAGACTTAAAGCCTCATTCAGAACCTCGTAATTAGTGGAAAAAATTAGTGGTTTCATTATACTTCATCATTCACAATGCGCAAAATTAACATCTAAAATTAAGGGAATTTGCTCAAAGATTCTCCATTTTTCTTAACCTGACATAAACAATATTAATTATATTAAAATAATATTTTGTACAACCATTACAATAATAACCTTACCTTCACTAGCAAATCTTCAAACTTTTTGCTTTTGACATAAAATATCCGCGCACATGCGCAAAGCCGCTTTCCAATTATAATTAGTGGTAAAAGTTAGAAGTTTGCAAACTTTTTCCACTAATTGAAAATTACTACCACTAATTTTTTGGTTGTGAACAACACTGTGTATTGTAATGGTTCAGTATTTTAATACGTTTTACAAATTTATTTTTAAATACGTTTGGAATTTTTAAATTGTGTTGTAAAATGTAAAAATCCTTGAAAAGAGGTAAAAAAAACGGACGTTTAGGTAAAGAAATTACAAAGTTTCGTGGAAGACCGAAATTTTGCCTGCAATGGTAAAAAATCTGTTGGCCAGATGATGCGAAAACAACATCGAAACTGGGAGAGGGAAGCAAAGAAAGAGGCAGAAAGTTTTCCGAAGTGTTAGAGAACGGATCGTTTTCGTAAATCTTTGCTAAAACTACAATTATTGTAAAATTCTGTGTAAACAATTGTTACAAGTGTTTGTGTATTCTCCCAGGTTAGTTATTAATTATAGTAGCCCAATTCTGTAGTAAAGTCCACTAAACGTAGAACGATTTTGAATTAAATAAACTGAGCATTAGTTATTTTGCACTACTACGTTTAGTGAATTTTACTCGATATTAACACCTTTTGTTTTAGCTATTTTTATAGAATGTTTTTACCTTTTAAGTTTACTGCTAAATGTAAAAATTTATATTCCTTTCTTTTATTGTCTTAGGCTTAATTTAGTTGTATACTACTCAAATGTTTAGATCCTCCCTCAACACGATTATGCATTTTTTGCGGTAATTTTAAAACAAATATCAGTGTAATACAGGACGTTTCGTTGCTTAAAAGGGAGTATTGACCGTTAATTTTAAACTTTGAACGCTCCTTTTTCTTTAGTAGGTAGTTTGCAGTAGATACTAAAATACTCTCCTCCGTGAGGGATAACTGGTCACCTAGGTTCTCTAGGTGGCATCGCAACTTTTATCCCGAAACTGCATCTTTGCGTTGTTTCCAGTGCGGACCTCGTTCTCCACAGGGCAACGTTAACGTTGACAGACTAACAGTTAACTGCCCTGTTAAACTAACAAAGTTTTTCCTTTTTTTTTGAACCCGTAGGGGTAGATAGTGTAACGATCGTCGTGTCATTCCATTGATTTGCATAAACTTTTAAAGAAACAATGCCTAATCGTGTAATCCTTTGCTACTTCATAGCCGAACAGGGTTTTTTCTCAAGCTCTTTTTCCCTGGTCGTATCTCCCTAAGAGCCACCCCTTGTTTTTTTTTCTGTTTGTAAAGTAAATTAAATTGGGGTAAACAAAACACTGTATTTTATTTTTTTGTATACCTAATTTTCCCAAGTATGATTCTTAAAGCAATGTATTTAATAAAACAAGTAACAAGTAACCACAACGTAGAGGTCCAAATTTTGATAAGACGATCACGAGCCATAGTCACAAAATAGTTCATTTATTAATTTTTTATAAAACTTGTTTTAACGAACCTGGTGTAAGGAGAAATCTTTACAGTATATTCATAAGACAAACTTTTACGTTAATTGAAACCACTTATTTATTCCACTAATTACGAGGTTCTGAATGAGGCTTTAGCTATACATTTTCTTCAGGGTTTTTATAATCATGCGCAAATGATTTTACCTGATTTAGGTCTATACATTTTAATTCAAACATATGTGATGCGAAAAGCTAACATTGCAGGAGAGCAAAAACATCGATTTTCGGAATTATACTTTTATGACTTTTATGAAGTCTTCTCTTGTCTCGCCGATTAAATAAGAATTCTTGTATAGAGTTTCGTCTCGCAACCCTAAGTCTCGTCTCGTCTCGCTTCTCGTACGAGATTTTGCAAAAGTATTAAAATCTCGTTATTCATAATCTTGTTTTAGTCTAGTACGGGATACTTACTTACCTACTTGTTATAATTAAAATTTCTGGATTGAATTTTTTTGTAAGTCTAGGTCCCATCTTGTTATATCAAACGTTTCTAATTAGAGTTTTAACCACAAAGACTAGAGACAAGCGTACAAACTTTATATGTTTGACGCGTATTTTTATGAGACAAAATACGTCGGCACAGAACAAATAAAACTGCTGTGCGTACTGCATTGCACACAAACCCAATCTTATTAGGGCCAATTACAATAAAGTATGACGTATGAAGTTTTTCATTTGTTTGGAATTAAATCGTCCATGGCGCACTAAGATCATGATGCAATTCAGACGCTTTTTGCTTCACCTCTTTCATATCGGTTGGTACTCCTATCTGTAGTCTTTGTGGTTATAACTTATGCCGCGGTTTAATTGAAGGCACGTCACCAGTTTAGGCTTAAAAGCCATTCTTGGCTTTAACATAATGATTTTTACCGTCAACCGTGCTTAAAAAGTAAATATGGATTAAGATTCGGCGTTTTCTTTGTGAAGCATGGTGACGTTTTTCCCCGAGGGGTCAACCACCCAAAGGGAAAACGTCCAGGGATTCCCATTTATTCCCATTATATTTTATTGTATTCCTATTTATTTCCATTGTATTCCTATGGTATTCCCCCTCTAAAATGTCCAGGGATTCCCAGGTGTAGGTGACCCCTGGTTTTGCCCCACCATATCGGTTTGTACTCCTGTCTCTAGTCTTCGTAGTTATAACATATGCCGCGGTCAAATTGAGGGCACGTCACCAGTTTAGGGTAGTAGTAATATCCTTTTTTTATATTGTAGCGAGTACCGCTCTGGATATCGAAGTGATGACTCATCGCCGGTGAGTCATCGCTGGTGACTCAGCGCTCGAATAATCGAGAGTGTGAAGCTCGCTGGAATGTTCCAGAAGACGTAAGCGCTGTAATATATAAGAAACGGAGCAGCACAGAGCAGTCAGTTGAGCTTTGGTACGCGCGAAGAAATAAATAAATATAAGTGCAAATAAATAAACTAGTAGTGATATAAATAATTAGTAGTTAAGTGTTTAGTTAGTTTTATAGTGTTTTAAGTGTAGTTAAGTTATTAAATAAATAGTTTAGTTCGTTAATTAACCAGTGCGTGTTTTTATTCACACTACGAACAGTTAAAAACGTTACAATTGGTGTCAGAAGTGCGGTTAGTGTGAAACTTCGCGAAAATGGTTTCGTTAATGGACTTAAAAGTGTCGGACCTTAAGCGAGAGCTAGAAGAAAGGGAGTGTGATCCAACTGGAAAAAAGAATGTGTTGCAGCAGCGGCTTCGAGAAGCGTTGGAACAGGAAGGTGAAGATCCAGATACGTATTTATTTGAAGGCCAATGTAATATGCATTTAATGTTGCAAAATTTAAACGAAAAAATGTTAGAGAATTCTAACAATTTGAAAGCTAATTTGAAACAGAATATTCTAGAAAATTCCAACGAGTTACAACAGAAAATGTTGGAAAATTCTAACGAGTTACAACAGAAAATGTTAGAAAATGTCAACGATTTAAAGAATGATTTGCAACAGAAAATGGTGGAAAATTCTAGCGATTTGAAAATCGATTTACAACAGAAGATTCTGGAAAATGTCAACGAATTAAAGGACGATTTGCAACAGAAAATGCTAGAAAATTCTAAAAACCTAAAAGAATATTTGGAAGGGAAGATTCTAGAAAATGTCAATGAATTAGAAGAGAAAGTTGACGATGTAAGGATGGAATTAAATAACGTAAGGATGGAATTGAATACGAGAGAAGAAAAATTGAACGAGAAATTGGAGGTCAAAATTAGAGAAATAAATAGTAAACTGAAAGCTGTAAATTTACCTATGATGCTGACGGAACCAGGAGTAGTGCAGGAGGGAAGCCGAGTACGGATGAAACCACCTCAGTTCGATGGAAAAACTTCTTGGACAAATTACATCCGTCAGTTTGAGGCAGCAGCAAAAGCAAATGGCTGGCTACCAGAAGAAAAAGCTACAGCATTGACTCTTGCTTTACGTGGAGATGCAACCGACATCTTGCAGACACTTTCTCCCAACGAACAAGAAGATTACGAAGCGTTGGTGAAACATCTGGAACTGCGATATGGGCAGACACATTTGGAACATGTCTACCATTCCCAACTTAAGAACCGCTGCCAGAAATCAAACGAGACTTTACAAGAATTCGATGCTGACATTGCACGCTTGGTCCGGCTAGCATATCCAGCTACTTCAACGACCGTTATGGAACGATTAGCGGTTCAAGCCTTTTTGGATGGACTTCGAGACAATGAAACAAGGCAGGCTCTAACACTGGCTCGTCCGAGCCAACTGGTTAATGCATTAGCTCGAGCTTTGGAATTCGAGGCGGCGAAGCAGAGCTGTAGGAGCCAGCCTAGAATAAGGAGAGTCGAGGAAGAGAAAGAGGAGGAACCCAGAATAATTGAAGCAATCAGGCGAGTTTTTAAAGAGAATCTACCGGAAAAGAAGGAAATCCGGTGTTGGAGATGCGGAAAGCTCGGACATATACGAAGTCATTGCAGAAAAAGCCAGGAGGTGCCGACTTCATCTCAGTCGGAAAACTAGATAGGGTCGAGAAAAAGGGGCTA